ATGTTTGTCTTTCCTTTGAGCATACATAGGAAGGCTTGTTTATCGTCGAGACATTCAGCTGGGAGTGAGGCCTTCCACACTGTTTTATCCACTGTAGACACCATTCCAGTTGTGTTTTCGATTTTGGGAAGGGAAAAAACAAGACTCCACCAGACAAACTCTTGGGATACCTACTGTCTGATTTACACAATCCATAGGCGCATCGCTTCACCATCTTGAAGAATGTCGGACCTAGCTTACATAGCCGGAGATGCTAATGACGCGTGATTGGACAATGGCGGGTTGGGGGCGGGGTTTTGCGAAAGGTCAATTACCACCCCAAAAACACCATATAAGGTAATGTTTCCTGCCTCAGATACCAGGAAGTGTTCATTCATAAATGACATTGCAAAGTAAAAAAGAAGAACTTCAGAGATTAACGTCCTGCTCTCAGAGATCATTTTTAGCAGCGTCAGCTGTGGAATTAAAGGAGCTGAAAAGCTGAGGAATGAAATGTGCTGTTAATGTGTCTGCTGTGGCTCGTTTACAGTCAGAGAAATAAAAATGTAAATCATATTCATCTCTCTGTAGTCCTGCTCCGGGTTTCCTTTGCTCAAATATTTTTAAGTGTAAACAACTGTGTTACATAGTTTTTATTTATTCAGAAGAACAGCAGTCGCGCACCGCTACCCCCCGACCAAGTGTGAGATGTGTTTATGAAAAAAAAATACATTTTAAAATGTCTCCAAACTTCAATTAATGTCCAATTTAAGCTGTTTTTTAGTTTGAAATCTTCAAATTAATATTGTAGTGCTAAGCAACAGCATTAATAACCAATTTAATTTAATTTAACCAATTTATGCCATTAGTCTACATTATTACATTTAAAATTATGATTCAAATTCAAGCAGAATAGCCTCTTGTCAACATTATTATAGAGTGTGATTTATTTTCAACTTGAAATATCTTCAAACTAATGAAATATAAAGTTATTAATGAAGAAAATTTGTCTGGATAACAGCAGACTGACTGNTTAGAGGAMCTGATGAGACCAGGTCTGCAGGTTTTAGAGGAACTCACACAGTCTTGAACCTCGCCTCATCCTTGCTCAGAACGACTGAGCCTGTCAGGGATGCTCCCTTTACTTTCTGTCCCAGTTTTTATGGAACGTGTTGCAGCGTCAAACTCACAACGAGTGAATATTTAAAAAACAATGAAATGTATCAGTTTGTTGTTGTGGTGTGTTCAGGTGAATCTGRGTTTAACAGGATGGTCTGGAGTCTGGACCGTCCCAGCTTCATTAGTGTTTGACACCAGGAGCTGAAAAATGATCCGGTTCCTTCACTGACAGCTTGTTTTTTTTTAAAGAGATGTTAAACAGCACAGCCCAAACCAGCCAGAGTCCAGTAGAGGTTCTGCTCACCCAGGTTCTGGAGGACCAGTGGGGGTACCGGGTCTGTCTGCTGGAACGGGACATCCTTCCTGGAGGAGGTGAGAGGGTTCTCTGTGCTCCCACGTGTTGATCTCCATGTTTATTGATTTTATTTGTCTGTGCGCTGCAGCGTACACCAGCGATGTGGTCCTGGCTCTGAAGAGAAGCCGGATGCTCGTGTGTGTCCTGTCGGCTGAATATCTCAGCGACAGAAACGCCGTGTTTGTTCTGGAGTCGGGAGTGAAGGTGAGTTTGTCTGGATCAGGTATAAATAATCTGAATCAATGGGCCTCATGCAAGAACGTTTTTATATTCTCATCCTAAATTTCTCTTATTTTTGTTCGTATGAAGGGTTCGTACGAACATGTCACATCAGATTCAACAAACTCTTCTATCTAAAGGAAAACTGTGTAAATGAGCTGCGTAAAGTGATGAATGCGTATCAGGTGCTCGCACACGAGAGGAGATTAGCATAATTACCACCCCAAAAACACCATATAAGGTAATGTTTCCTGCCTCAGATACCAGGAAGTGTTCATTCATAAATGACATTGCAAAGTAAAAAAGAAGAA